GGGGGTGTTTGTTTGGGATTGGGGATAGGGTGGAGTCAGTCGGGAGATGGGAGGATGGGACCCAGGACTGCCCAGGGCAAAGCTCCGCCCTCCTCCCCTCTGACTGAACTGTGCGGCCACCCTGGACCTCTGAGGCAGCTGAGGTCAGCGCTAAGAAGAAGAAGCTCACTTCCAGGAAGACACTGTAGAGGCTCCTGAGGAACTCGGCCTTTGCTCTAGCCTGTGAGCTCAACTTCGAGGCGTGTGTGAGCCCACTTAGGGCTCTGAGAGTTAACGCTCAACCACAGGTGTGGAAACAAAAGGGCTGGATGCCTCCTTGGCTTTTTTTTTCCTCGTGTACTTTTGGAAGAGGTTATTGAATCTGATCCAGAGAAAATAATAAACTTGGCTCGTGTAGCCTCGTTGTAAGTTCTTGCAATAAAACTCTAGCCTTGGCAGATAGAGTAATGCTTTGCTCTCGGGAAAAAAAAGGGAAAAAAAAGTCTGGTAGCTTAACCAGAACTCAAAATACCAGTGCTGTGCACAGTTCTAGCAGGAAAGAACATTTTGGTGAGGAAGGGACCAGGTGCACCTTGGCTTCCTGGGAATTGTAAGACCGTAAGCTACTGGGCGATTGTTCCTTCAACAGACCCTTACTAAGAGTCAAGGTCCTTGGAGCACAGCGTTCTGCGAATTCCCACAGGAAGACATCTGTCATGTTTGGGGGTGGGGGCTCAGTTTTAATTAGAACGCAGGAGGAAAGTTCAGGGCTGTGTGGGTAGAGACACAAAACTGCTAAGTATGCTCTAATAATTGGGTTTTAGCTGGAGTTATTAGGTGAGAAATCAAATCATTAGCTTTAAAGGCCTGGCTGAGAGTCACTTTCTGGGGAGGCTCTGTAACTGGAGGGCTCTTTTCTCGCAGGGAGCTTCGGGGAGCTTCCCATCAGCAAGCCATGTGTTCTAGAAAATTTGCTCATTTATTTATTTTGTGGTTGTTTTAATACATTTTTTAACATGCCAATCCCAGTTTCCCCCCTCCTCTCCTTCTACTCTCCCTACCTCCCCCCCCCAGCCCCCATGCACTCCACTCCTCAAAGAGGGTAAGGCTTCCCATGGGGAGTCAGCAAAGTCTGACACATGACTTTGAGGCCCTTCCCCCTATATCTAGGCTGAGGAAGGAATCCCTCCAAAAAGAATGGGCTCCAAAAAGACAGTTCAAGCAGTAGGGATAAATCCTGGTCCCATTGCTAGTGTCCCCACAGACTTCCCAAGCCATACAACTGCCACCCACATTCAGAGGGCCTAGCTTGGGCCTATGCAGGTTCCCCAGCTGTCAGTCTGGAATCAGTGAGCTCTCACTAGCTCAGGTCAGCTGTTTCTGTGGGTTTCCCCATCATGGTCTTGGCCCCTTTGCTCATATTATCTCTCCTCTCTCTCTTCGATTGTACTCAGGGAGCTCAGCCCAGAGGTCAGTTGAGGATCTCCGCCTCTGCTTCTGTTTGTTTCTGGTCGGGGGTTTTAGCTTCTCAGGTTGGGGACTGTAGGCTGTCAGCAGTGACCCTTAACCCCTACCTTGTGTCATGCACCGTGCCCGGTAAAGAGATTCAGGATGGGCACATGCTTCCTCAGCCCTTGGGTGTTCTTGTTCTTTGTCAAGGGGATGGGAAGGAGGCATGGAAGTCCTGGAAAGAGCGGGGGCGGGGGGGGGGTGGCTGGGAGAAGGCAGGTGAGGAGGAAGGCGCAGCACAGTGGTCCGGACAAGGATGGAGGATCCGAGAGCAGGTAGTCTGTGGAGCGTTCTGCAGCTGTCATTGGTTCTTTATGGTGAACCCTGGGATGGAGGGAAGCAGAGACACCCTCTTCCCCACCGTGCTAAGATGCTCATCTGTTCTGTGTTATCACTTATGTTAGGAAGATTTTCCAGATGACACTATAGACTGTGGTTGAAGGAATGGGATAAATAAATAAAGCTGTAGGAAGTTTCTGTTATTTTATCCACATATAAAATCTTGTGCTTACCCTTTAGTTCCTTTAAAACGACAACTTCACACTCGCTTATTGTGGTGCGCCAAGAAATAGGTTTGGTCCCTGCTCTTTGCGTCTGGCACACATCTCCTAAAACCCTCGTGTCCCCAGAGTGATGCCACCTATGTTAATGTGATGACTGGTGACGGGGGGGGGGGGTCCTAGAGTTGGGGGCTGGTTGCCAGGGGAACCAGCTGCTTTATTAGAGGCTGGAGCTTTCTCTGCACCAGCTGAGGGAGGAAATAGAACTGGACCTCTTCACCACTGGCCAGGAATTTAATTAAGTCCTGCCCATTCAAAGAGACCCTGAGTCTTGCCCCGGTACTGCGGTCAGACTCTAAGCTGGTAATGATTGAATAACCATGGTGTCTGGGGGAGAGCCGAAGACTGAATATGTGATAAAAGCCCTCTGACATTGGCAAATATTTGAAGGCACGTGTAACCAAGGACTGAGGACTGAATTCTCTGCCTTGGTTGGTAGGCCTGACTCAGACCAGCAAACAGAATCTTAGGGGCAGAAAGAAAAGAAGGCTGGAGAGATGGCTTTATGAAGGGCTCTATATACACAGGCACACCACATACACAGCACACACAGACACACACACACCACATCATTTCATACCACACACACACGCGCACACACACACAATGCGAATGTCATTTTGAAAGGAAGAATATAACCCTATCATAGCAGCAAATGTGGGGATCTTTCGAGGGTTAGAACAGAAGCCCACAGTGTCTGGAAGTCCCAAGCCCTGTGCGCTGGTCTTGTCCTGGTGCTGAGGGACACCATCTCTCTCCAGTTCCTTTCTCTACTCTGGAATCCACGGTCATTGCTGGTCCTGACGATCATGGTGGTCACCTGTGAACAATGTCTGTAACTCCATCATGGCAGAGGGCTTCGGTAGGGCCTGTGGAACCTGCGGTTGAGGAAGAGTGCTGACTGACCGTTTCCGGAAGCAGGAAATTTCCACTGACCTGCAGTCAGGGACACCTCCCTACCCCTGGCAGCTTTGCTTTCTTCTAACTGGAATGTGCCTGAGGAGTGGCAGTAGCTGTGCTTCCAAATTCCTCAGCCCTGAGTTTATGAACCTTGGGGCTGCCTGGGAAGGAGACCGCGCTGAGGCAGGGTGGATGGTGTGTGGCAGGGAAGACGGACAGACCAGCAGGAGTGACCCCTTCCTGGGCCTCACAGTCATGCAGCTCTTTGATGACTTCAGGCTACATTCCGCTAGCTGCTGGCCTCTTCTGCTTACGCGATTCTTCGTGCCTTCGGAATGCACCAGCAGGATATATCTCTCCATTCACACTGAAAGGAAAAATGCTTGCTTCTCATGATGCGTTTAAAACCCAGAGTTAAATTTTATAGCTATGACACAAGAAAGGACACAGGCAACAAATATGTAGAGATCCTTGCCTTCACACCCAGACGGTGCAGGCAGCGGTCAGAGTCCATCCCGCACTGCTGAGGGCTTTGTTTTTTCAGGGAAAAGCTGAATAACAATATGGAAGTGCTTTCTGGCAGCAAGAAGGCTTTACTACAGGAAGGGGGGGGACCCCAGATGGTGTGAGGCAGGGCTGATGTGTGGCTGCTCCCCAGCAGAGATCCCTGGAGGTGGCATGGTCAGTGTGACCCAGGAAGATGGATGGCGAGCCTTGACATGAACAGACAATATCCAAACAAGGCCACCGCTAAGGCTTCCACACTGCCATTGCTTAGAATCAGCGGAAGGACCCTCAGGAGTGGGTGCTGTACCTGGAGGGATGTGGTGTTGCCCAACAACTGTCATTCTTGTGACAGTTTTACCCAACTTATTAATGACTAGTTCTGTGCCTCCTAAGCCGGAACAGACCAGAAAGGCTTCCTTAAGACCCCATCAGGGGTCCATGAAGGAGCTCAGTGGGTAAGGCGCTTGCTGCCAAGCCTGACAACCCCCAAGTTGTCTTCTGACCTCAGCACATGCCCACATACATACCTGTACCCGCATACACAAAGTAAATGAATACTGAAACAAAGGAACTAAACTTGACACATGTCATAAAACACGGAACGTGGGGATTCACACTGGGAGTCAGGCAGATGTGTGAGCAGTGAGGACACTTGGTCAGTACTCTTTCCACACAACCTTCTACAGACAACCAGTGTGTACTATCAGCGTCTACAGCGAGTCTGCTCGGGCTCGATATTAGTGGCATTACTAATGGTCCCCAATCTAGAATAAATTCCATGTAGAGAGTTATGCCTGCTGTTTAGGAAATGACAAAGCCGACATTTTTTTTTTTTTGAGTGAAAGCTCATGATTTTATTGTCTTCATAACAAGGTCAGCTTAGAACTGGATCACTTGGCCCTTTCTCTTCTTATCACCACCCAGTTCAAAATGCTTGCATCTCTTAATAGCCAGCATCCTCTTAGATCTACAGTTGGGCTCCACACATTCCAGTCTCAGCACAATCTTCTTTGTAGTTTTCACCTTTTTGAGGAAAATAGGTTTAGTCTGCCCACCATAGCCACTCTGTTTCCTGTCTTAACGCCGCTTTCCCTGGGCATACCAAGAATCTTTGCCCTTCTTGTACTGGAGACCTGCTGGACATTCTGCAAGAAATGTGGCAAGCACCAAAGTCGACATTTTTAAAGTTTGTCAGTATTGAGAGAGGTGCAGTGTTTCCCCTAAATGTCCAGTTCAGTCCACGGGTAAGCACCAATGAAGACCAGTGGTGCCTGGAAGGAGGGCTCTCACAGAGACGTGTGTGAAATAGCAAAGATGATTCGGACTGTTCCCAGTTCCCAGTTTCTCATCACAGGGTTCTTTCAAAGTTCGAAGGGACGTGCTGCCTGGGGTTATCTGGGGGTTACTTGAGTCCACTCCCAGAGGGCTTGCCTCTGATACATCTGCTTGCATAGCAGAGAGAAGGGACAAATTAGGTGTGATGGGGAAATCTGTTTGACTCTGGGTGACTATGCTGTGTTAACTATGCCGTCCTGTCTGCTTCAGGTGTCGAAGGGCTCTAAGGTCCAGTTTTCATCAGGAAACTTCTCCTCAACAGCGGACACAGAAGAGAGGATTTTTCCTCAAGGGAACGAGCATCTGCTAAACTGGGCCCGGAAGTTATACGGAGCGGTGACTTCATTCACGGAACTCAAGATAGCAAGAAACATCTATATTAAAGTGGGGGAAGGTAAATACTGCGTGGCTTCTGTTAAGGACAGATTTGTAACCATTGACTGTTGGCCTTTCTGAATCCAGGTGGTCAGGGCCAGGGACGGTAGGGTCCAGAGAGCTGGAACCAGCAGGGACCTAGGGGTCTCTTAGAGAGCAACTCTTCCCACACACCCCTCCTTTTTCTCCTGCAGAAACGGGACTGGTTATAACCAGCTGAGAGATAGGTGTAGTACGGTTGAGAGAAAAGCAGGTTGCTGTGTAGGATGTAGAGTACCGTCAGCCCTGGCATCCAGAACAAGCAAGTGGCTAAGGTGTGGGGAAAGGCAGTGGTAACTGGCACCATGAAGGATTTAGCGGGATGGGTTTGACACCCGGGGCAGCTTCTTACTTGCTGTTCTGCAGATGTTTGAAGCCATTGTCCCTTTATGGTGTTGAGACATCAGTTAAATCTTAGATACCAACAGAGGGAAAATATTATTTTTAGTACTAACACTTGTTACAAGGACACAGTTTGGAGAGAGGAACTACATATGCTTTGATAAGAGTTGGCTCAGTTTAATTTCCTTGCCTTGCAGAAAGTTATAAATATCCAACAGCTCAGTTTTGAAAGCCTATTTTTTAAGTATTTTAAAATCATTTTTAGTGGAGTATATTTGGAAGGTCCCCCTGCCCCTCCCACAGAGTTACTGGGAAGTCACTGTTGTGGATGGGACCTTGTCCTCGGCTGGCTGGGGAGGGTACTGTCTACAGCTCCTGCCACTTCCTCCCCAGATGTCCCGCAGGGTGGGGGTGTTGAGTGCTTGATCCCCAGCTTGGGTCTGTTTTAAAGTAAAAATGAGACAAGTGCAAGAAAGGCAGGCACTGACTGACGTTGGTGTGTAAAAGCGGGCACTGATGTTGGTGTGTAAGGCAGGCACTGACGTTGGTGTGTAAAAGCGGGCACTGATGTTGGTGTGTAAGGCAGGCACTGATGTTGGTGTGTAAAAGCGGGCACTGATGTTGGTGTGTAAGGCAGGCACTGACGTTGGTGTGTAAAAGCGGGCACTGATGTTGGTGTGTAAAGGCAGGCACTGATGTTGGTGTGTAAGGCAGGCACTGATGTTGGTGTGTAAGGCAGGCACTGATGTTGGTGTGTAAGGCAGGCACTGATGTTGGTGTGTAAAGGCAGGCACTGATGTTGGTGTGTAAAGGCAGGCACTGACGTTGGTGTGTAAGGCAGTCACTGATGTTGGTGTGTAAGGCAGGCACTGATGTTGGTGTGTAAAGGCAGGCACTGATGTTGGTGTGTAAAAGCGGGCACTGACATTGATGTGTTGGCTACAGCAAAGACCGTGTCTGGAGTTTTCCCATGTACAGCATGGCAATCCCAAGGAGGAGATATTGTTTCTGTCACTGTATGCGGATGGGGCTTAGGGAGGGTTCAGTGAATGTGCCACGTTACGAGAAAGTGGCAAAGGCCGTTCTCAACTGTAGAGCCCCTCACTCTTGAGTCTGACGCTGTCTAATGCTTGAAGGACTCTGCCCTCCCTCAAGTCTTACCCAGGCATATTCCCGAGTGAAGGTGAGAATGACAAGTGGCTTGTAGCTCAGAGAAAGGGGTTAGATGGGAATCGGGGTCGAAAGGCCTAAGTTTGTTCCTAGATTCTCATGGTAGTCAGACTGCACTGGAATAAAGAGATTGGAAAAATAATAATAATAAAAAAACCTCAAGATCTCTGCCTGTCTGAGGCAGAATCCAGTAGAACGAAGGGTGAAGGGATAACAAGTCTTACATTGTTAGAATAAGGAGATTTGGAGTGGGAACGTGTAGAATACTGGGCCCTGTTTCCTTGACAACATGCATAGCACAGTAGTCACCTGGGCCAGTGTTGTAAGGAGGCTGCTTGTTTGTTTCCTGGTCTCCCGGCAGTTGGCAGTTCAGACCTAAAATATTCACACAGAAACCTTATTATTTAAATCACTCCTTGACCCATTAGCTCTTGCTTCTTATTGGCTAACTCTTACATTTTAATTTAGCCATCTCCATTAATCTGTCTATCGCCACGTGGCTGTGGCTTACTGGGTAAAATTTCATCCAGCATCTTTATCCGGCGGGGGCTCCATGGCTTCTCTCTGACTCCGCCTCTTTCTCCCAGCATTCAGTTTAGTTTTCCCCGCCTAGTTCTGTTCCTCTATAGCTCTGCTGTAGGCCCAAAGCAGTTCCTTTATTAACCAATGGTATTCACAGCATACAGAGGGGAATCCCACATCATGTCAGGAGTCAGGACTCTTAAGTAGCTGAGCTCCACACTGAGACAGGGAAGCAAAACTAAAAGACCTGATGTCCCAGTGGTAAAAACGGGGTGACTCTGAGGATCCCTAGGATCCCCTGAAGTTTGACTCCAGCCTTTAGTTGGGTCTAAATCACTGGCCCATGTTACTGACAAGAACATTTGGGGTGGGGGGAAACTCCTTTGTTAAGCTCATAGACCCCAGGCAATGTTACTGATTATCACCTTGCATCAATCTCAATCTCGCCGATTTACTTCCCAGACAGGGACCATAGGCTACGAGCCCCAGCGGGTTTTAGAGTGCAGCTCCCACCCTGGAAGCTTTAGTGTTTCTGAGAACCTTGTTAGCTCAGTCCTGGCCAGCTAAATAAGAATAAGGATGGGGTCCGCAAGGCAGGTTGCCCCGAGCCATCCAGGTGGTGGTACTCACTGTCCACCCAGAGTGGGATAAGTGGGCGTTCAGTGCGGGCTCTTATCCTAGCACCGTGGAGTAATCTCCAGGTTGCAGGTCTTCACTACAAGAAAAGGAGCCTTTGTGTGACCACCAAAGCTCATCCCTGCACTCAGAGTCCTTAGCCACGTTTACCTGCACGTTCCCTCCCAGGCTTAAGAGGTTTCTACCTGGGGCTTCCCTCTCTGCTTGGCACTTGAGTATGTTTTTGTGCTTGTGGAAAGTCACGTGACCTGGGGGACTCCTCGCAACAAAATGTGATTGGTTCACTCAGTGTAGTTGACAGTGGCATCCGGAACTTTAGGAGCAGCAACTTTGGAATAGTTAAACCTTTCCGAGTGGCTCACCCACCCGGGGGGGCGGGGGGAATCTTTGGCTGTTTGTCTCAAATTTCACATCATCTTTTGCTGACTCCAGAAGCCTGTGCTATGTGTCTATTATGCGCCAGCTACAAGCCTAGGCACACCTGTGTAGGAAATGCAAGCCACAGTCCCAGGAGGGGCCTGGCTTCTTGAGTCTTCTGGCCCATGTACACACCTCCTGAGTCTCAATCAGATTTCAGCCCTACGGTTCCAATATCATTTTCCATCTTGTGACCTGGGGGAGGCATCCCAGGGCTGCAGCTGTGAAGTACGCATTCCTCATCCGCACATCTGGAAAACCCCTTAGCCAATGTCGCGGGGTGCTGCTCCAAGAGCTCGAATTGTGAAGCTGTGGGCTGTTTCCTTGGGCGAGTTTTGTAGAAAAAAATGCAGGATGCATATGCCAACCCTCTCTTGCAGCAATCACACAAGCAGGGCCATATTGATGACTGTGCCCTTTGTGCCGAGGTGGTGCCGAGGATATTGCTGGGGTTAGGGCCACAGTGCCATCGTGTGAGCTGCAGACCAGCAAACAGAAGCTGTATGAAGTTGGGAAGGGGGCAGTGTCAGCGCAGCCTGAGAACCTTGAAAGCTCATCTCCTGTGCTTAGGTGCCACTGTGGATGTGAAGCCCATCATCCCATCCTTAACATTTAAAAGACACAAGGCTGCGTCACGAAAGTGCCAGGTCTGATTGATTTCCCTCCTGATAATCTGCCTTCACCTAGAATTTCCTGGACGCCAGCTGTCACTGCGACAGCAGCTCCTGTTTAAATATTTAAGCTGCGAGATTGAAGTCCCTTTGGGTGTCGTGCTCTGTAACTAGCATGGGTCACTGGGGAGATCTTCAGATTTTGTGACTGACATGTCTTTTCCCGGGTCAGGTGGTGAGCAGTCCTCAGCCCAGTGGTATTTGTAAAAGCACCTTGAGAATGAGGAAGAGCCGTGCCAGGGTTAGTTGTGTAAGGCAGCCGTGTAAAAAAGAGTAAAAGTTTGTCTTCTCTCTCTTCCCCATGCTTCCCACTTTTAATCTTAATTTCGGGGTAGAGAACCAATAGGCATTGGCATTGAGGCTGCAGGTATCCAAGGAGAAGCCTGTAAGGTTGAAAACAGACCCGGTGTTGAGTGTCTAGGTGGGAACCTCTTGGTAGACAGATGACAGTTAGGTCTGCAGCCCAGAGGAGAAGCGGTGGTCTGGGAATAAGTGGATACCACAGGAGTGGCTGGGTTCTCTGGAGGAAAGAGCTGAGGTTCTGAGTCTGGATTATTTGGTCACATGCATTTCCTGAATGTGTCATGACTTCATTTTTCCTTATGGCATGTATATCTTCTTTGATTTTTGTTTTTTGAGATAGGGTCTGTAGCCCAGGCTGGTCCCAGATTTTCTATGTAGCCAAAGGTGATCTTAAATTTCTCATTTTCCTGCCTCTGCCTCCTGAGTGGCCAGATTATGGGGCTGTGCCATGACCACACCTCAGGCACGCAGTGGCAGTGGAACCCCAGGGTAAACACCTTCCACCTGAGCTACGTTCCCCAGCTCAGGGCTGAGAGTCTCAGCCTTAGCTTACATTAGAATTAACTGTGGAGCCCTATGGAAAGGAAAAATGTCCATGATATCCTGAGTCGGAGTCTAAGGGACAGAGTCCTAACAGGTACAATCTGGATCACAGGAAATGGGCAGGAACCTGAAAAAGAAGCCACTAGTAGCCAAAGTGCGGCACCTTTCTGCAGTAACCGAGGCACAGATGAGCCCCCGCCGCCCCTGCCGCCCTTTGGGCTTGTCTTGTCTGTCACCTCTGTCCTCCGGTCTGGTCCCGTAAGCTCAGTGGTTTGACCAGGCGCCCCTTCTGTCTGCCTGCAGATCAAGTGTTTCCTCCCACGTGCACCATCGGAAAGAATTTTCTCTCGCTCAATTACCTTGCTGAGTACCTTCAACCCAAGCCTGCCGAAGGCTGCGTCCTGTCCAGTCAGCCCCAGGAGAAGGAAGTACACATCATTGAACTAATCGCCCCCAACTCAAACACACACAGGTGGGCCTGTGTGTACATGTGACCTCGTGCGTGTGTGATGCGTGTGTGTGTGTGTGGTATGCACGTGTGTGTGTGTGCTTGTGTGGTGTATATGTGTGTGTGCATGTGTGTGTGCCTGTGTGCGCGAATGTGGGGTGTGTGTGCATGCGTGTGTGTGGTGTATGTGTGTGTGATGTGTGTGTGCATGTGTGTGGTGTGTGTGTGGTGTGGTGTGTGCGTGTGTGTGGTGTGGTGTGTGCGTGTGTGTGGTGTGTGTATGCATATTTGTGGTGTGGTGTGTGTGTGTGCATGTGTATGTGTGGTGTGTGTGTACTTGTGTATATGTGGTGTGTGTGTGCATGTGTGTGGTGTGTGTGTCCATGTGTGTGTTGGTGGAGTGGGTCTTCATGGTACATACGAAGGATGGCACAATTTGCCACTTATGTTCTTATTCTGCCTCTCTGCTTCCTATGCTGGCCTGGAAGTTTGATTCTTCCTATTGAAAATAATTTGTTTTTTAAGTAGAAAAAATTATTATTTTCCACACTGATCTGTATTTCATACGGACCAGTGATTCAAAGTTTACAGTTGTATTGTAGAGGTATTTTTGAAATGACGTGTATAATAGAGTTTTCATTTCAATATTGACTACAGATCGGTTTGGGTAGGATTCTGTTCAGTTCCATGTACAGAACTCTGGAAAATTCAAAGGGACTGGGAGGACCTGGAACATGCGTGCAGACCTTTGAAGTCGGGGCACCATGGTTATCATGTTTCATAAGTGAAGCCAAGACAGACTCCCCTCAAATTCAGGATGAAGGGTGTGATCATTTAGTAAATAAAAATTGTAAATAAAAATCATTCTCTTTCATGCTGAATTCTCTGACCCATAATTTTCTTTAATAACTGTATACCCATAAGTTTGGGGAAGTAAATGCAACTATGATTCTTTAACCACCATTGATGCCTAAGTCAACTCTTGCATAAGCCAAGAGGCCTTTTGCTTCTTATTTTATTATGAAGTTCTGAGTGTCTTCCCACCTCACAGCCATCAGCCACTCTTGTCAGGATTTCAAGGGTTTCTGCATATAGGGTCTTAGAAGTTACAGGCTAATGAAGGGCGGGTTGCAGAAGCTTGAAAACAAACAATTCTGCTTCAAAATGAAGCTCAAGATCCTTCAGATGGTGCTGCATTGAGTAACTGCCTTTCTCTCTCCCCTCTCTAGAAGGAAAAACTTGTGTGGTTAATTAGCATCAGGCCCGTGTTCCTATTGTTATGTAAACCCATTTTGTTATGTGTGCAACAGCAATGTGTTTTGCACATGTCATTTGCCTGGGACCCATGCCAGTATTTTAATCAACTGGCCAGACACTGGAAACACGGGGCTTGGGAGTGGTGGCAGAGTTCCTGGCATTCGGGTCTTGACTTCGCCTTGTTTTCCACACACAGCCCCCTCCAGGTGGATATAGTCATCGACATACAACCCGCTCGAGAGGGCCCTGAGGTGGTCAGAGACCTCATCCTCATCCTGAAGTGCAAGAAGGATGTCAACTGGGTGATCAAATCCTTTGACGTCAAGGGAAGCCTGAAAGTTATTGTAAGTTGGCCGCGCATTTCTTGGTCTTGTTAAACAGCAATGATTTAAGCTGTGGTTGTGTGTGTTATTTTTGCAAGGATTCTGCCTCTTTAAACTTTCTAGATCTGTTAGCTTCTACTTTGCAAACTTTGCTTGGTTTCGCGTGATAGGACAGTCAGTGTGGTGGCTAAAACATGGCCCTAGGAAGTATAATATGTGGGTTTGAGTCTTGGTTCTTCTACTTAAAAATTACAGCCTTGGACAAGTCCTTGAAGCTTTCTGAATTCCAGTTACCTCATTAGGAAAGTTTTGAAATGAATCAGTGTGTTTTCTAGTCATAGTAAACATGAAGCAATGAACAAAAGTACATTTTTCATGTCTGAGTATTCTTTAGAGACTCAATATCATTTTACTCTGGAGTTAGGTGCTTAGGGAGGAAGGAAGATCCATCTGATCACAGCCGTGGCATAGACTTTCCTGTTGAGATAAATATGTATTTCCAGTGCTGGAGTGTGGGAGGCAGACTCAGAATCCTCTGAGTTCATTGGCCATCTGTACAGCCTAGCTGAATGGTGAGCTCCTGTTCAGTGCGAGACCCGGTCTCAGAAACAGAAGCAGGCATAGCGTGAAGAAAACACCTGATGTTGACCTCTGGTCTCCATTCACACGTTTGCACACCAAACACACACTTGTATATGTGTCACATGTGATTTTTTTCAAAAGTAACCGCAGGTGTGCTCCAGTTTATCTCTGGAGCACTGTTAATGTGGTAAGGTGACAGCGAGGTAGCTAGTTTGTTGGGAAACTAGAATGTTAAAGTTTGACGGAATAAAACTCATGTCAGGGGAAAACTATTTGACTGAATATTGGAGCAAATTATATTATGTAATGGGTGTGTGTGCACGTATATGAATTTATATATGCATGTATGTATCACACCCCTTGGCATCTTTTTGAAGAGTAAAATTTTAAGGTATTTTTAATTGACCGGCATCTTTTTCAGTGCCTTTTTCGAAACAGCTGGAGTTGATTTTAGATTTTTGATTTTTTTAAAAGAGATTGCCTTCGGTTGTTTTGGTTCTGTGTCCACTCGCACAACAGCACCTTCCATGGGATCTAGCAGTTGGCAAAGCCAACGGTTCTCTACAATCCCAGCCTCATAGGTGAACTCACCAGAGGAGCAGACAAAGCCAGTAGCACACACATCTCAATTTTAAAATAATTCTTCCTTGTTCCTAGGGGTTTTTTAAAATTTATTTTTCTTAGACTTTGAAACAGTCCAAATACCCATCAAGTGCAGTGTGACAGATGAAGCTGGTGTCGAGCGCAAACCCCAGCCGTGTTTTTCCAAGGTCGTGGGTATTTTGATTGCCTTCCCCTGGCATGACATGAGGGGAGGGGTGGTGGCGACCTGGAGTGTCTGCTGCTTTTGCTGCCTGGCACATCAACCGAATGTTTTTAGCTTCAGAATAACAAAAACAGGAAAGAGAATCAAGTTTTGAAAGGCAAAAAATGATACGGTATGTTTCAGTTCCCTGCTGGAGTGCTTGCGCACGCTCTCAGCCCTGACCTGTGCTCCCGCTGTCCCTGAATGCATGTGACTGGACAGCAGCAGGCCTGGGCTTTGCTTTGAAGGTCCCTGTCTCTCAGAGGAATCAGAAAGACTAGAAATGAGATCGGCCATCATCCCAAGCAAGATATGTTTCTATTCCTCTCTTTGGCTGGACTCGAGTTCCAGGCCAATTTTGGATAATACATGACAACATTGCTAAACAATTAGGTAATGTTTCATCATGTTCTTTTTCTTCTCCAATTCTCCACTCAGTTTCAAGCTATTTGACTTCTAACTCCCTGTCCCAGATGTGAATCCGAACTGTGCCGTGAGGGACGGGCGCATGCGAAGACATAGATTTAAGTTGCTGCTTAGAAAAGGAGACGTAGTTTGTGGAGAACTTAATCCTTGTCTTCCCTGTTATGACAAGGTTGCTAAGTGAAAAATAAATAAATAAATAAATAAATAAATAAAGGATCCTGACTGGAGCAGACAAGGCCAGCTTCAAGGTCCGTCTCCCAGTTCATGGTGGAGAGTCTAACCAACAAGGGGTCTGTTTCTGTAACTGTGAAATGGATACACAGTGACAGCAGTCACCTTGAAAGCTATTGTGTAGTTCAGGTGACTTCGTTGATCCCTCAACTGCTTAGGGCACATAGGCTCCCTCTCTCCCTTAAAACACACAGGTAGGTGGAAATTCTCAGCTATGTGTGTTACTCAGTTGCAAGCCTCAGATTCTCTTCCACTGGCAGAAGAATGGCAGATCCTTGCTCCTTGTATTAAAGGAAGATTACCTAAGAAATATATGTACATATTAGCATGGACCCATTGTAAAAAGAACTCATCCTCTTTCCATAAGTGCTTGCTGGAAGAGTTTGTCCACAGGAAGTGAAGTGCTTCGTGAACCAAGGTGGAAACAGGAACCACAGTTCGTAGGGAGGCGAAAGAATGACCCCGTGGCACGTGCGTGGCTGTGCTGAGTTTGTCAGAGCTACAGCAAGGGCAGCATGCAGCCTGTGTGAGGGACAGTGGTCAGAGATCGGCAGAGCGATGCCAAAAGCACAGCACTAAAATGTGGCTCTGTCTTGTTCCCTGGGTGCCCTATAGACAGGGTGCTGTGACTTCTACAGCAGGGAGAGCTCCAGAACAGGAAAGATGAGGGGGGCTTCACAGCCGTTCCCTCTCATGGGTCAGAGAAATGGGTAAAGGCTCCTGGGCCAGAGTTCTGTCCCTGGGACCAGCATGGTGGAAGGAGAGGACCAGCTCCTACAAGTAGGCCTCCAAGCTCCACCCCTCCCTCCCTCCCTCCCTCCCTCTCTCTCTCTCTCTCTCTCAGACACACACACACACAGACACACACATACACGATAAAATTACAATAAATTTAAAAGTTGAAAGCTGTTTCCTCTTGTGCTCTTTGATGCAGCGTCACAAATATGACTTCTTCTTAGAAAACACATTGCTAGTTTAGAGCGTGTGTGTGTGTGTGTGTGTGTGTGTGTGTGTGTATTTGATATTCTCTCCCCACTGCTCCCCTAAAGCCCTCCTCCCTGCGCCATCATTTCTAGGGCATGGGGCACAGCCACTTAGGCTCCACTTAATACTTCACAATAGAGCTGAGGAATATGGTGGTGGTGTTTGGGGAGACTCCCCTTGAGCCCCCACTTGACTATATTACAGTTGGAAAAACCTGGAGAGTCCAGGAATACAAAGGTGAGGAATTTACTCAACGCTGAGAACCAATTTGCCTCCCATTATTCCGGGTCTTGCTGCTTTACTAGCGTGTAGAGTGATGTCCAATCTTTTAAGTTCCAAACCATAATTAATATGAATTACCCTGACATCATCTAGATTTATGTGGAAAGGCATGAACAGATCACTCTGTCCTGGTACAGCAGGACAGGTGGCCGTTGAGATGATCGGATCTGGAGAGAGTATTTTCTCAGCTGTCTGACAACATGAACGTCTAGGGCAGAAGAGGCCAGGCAGTATTGTTTAGGCCAAGGTTGCGGTTCCAGCCAGTCAAAACACATGCTGCTTTGAAAGGTTGGAAGACGCTGTGTCTCAGAAACTCCCGTTGACCAAATAGTAGGCTCTGAGAGCTGCCTGGGTCTTCCTTGATTTCTGTCCCATTTCTGTCTTTCATCTCTTTTTCATTACCACTTCCTTTTCTCATCCATCCTCCCCCTTCCCTCTCTCCCTCCCTTCCCTTTCTCTCTTCTCATTATTCCCCTAGAATTTTCCTCTGAGTTTGAGTAAGAACTAAACTAATCTCAGTCGTTAACAACCAAGCTTACAAACGGTAGCAGGATTCCGTTTCTCTCCATCTGGTTTCTTGCGTGCACACATGGAGTCATGAGCGGCCAGCCTGGCAGGTTTCCCCTAGATAAGCTCTTTGGGTAACAGGAGACGATCTTGGGTGACAGCTAGTAAGCCCTGGAGTATATGTGTCCTCAGACAGTCTCCCACAACCGAGGAGGCCAAGAGAATGAGAGCCTGTGCATCTTTTATGACTTTACAGTGGGAAAGAATTAATATTTAGTCATGTTTGGGGCAAACAGAATGGGAAACAAATGAGACATTTAGAAAAAATGCTGCAGATATGCAGGAGAAAATCACTGGGCACGGAAATTAAAGGGATTTTGATGCAGCATGACAATGGCCTAATCTATGCTCTGGAAGCTTCTCTGCTCAGCCAGAGCAGTTGTGCAAACTGGGCCTTGCCCTTGGGTCCCTCTGCAGTGGTCAGGTCCCTCACCCACTGACAAGATCCCTGTCACAGGCGTCAGTAGAGCACATAGACCCTGCCACGCCCTGGCTACCCAGAGGCTATCCGTATCCTTCCTTGAAAGAACACCAGCATTTTAGCAATTGTAGCTGATTATTACATAAAAGCTAACCTTTCAATATGGCTTCATGAATTTTCATGTTGTCTTTATTACTAAATAAAGTGCTAATACTTGAGCAGTTTCTTAATTAATACTCCAGACCATAAAGTGTAGTATGTTAACAGAATTGGCAAGTGAATACAACTTAAGGATGGCTAAACCCATCATAACTTATAGATGAAATGTAAAGACTTGAGTTTTACATGTGGAAGTCAATAGCTTAGACAGCACTGGGAGAGTCACGGGATCCTACTGTCTTTCCTTTAGGTCGAAGCTGCAAGAGGCAAAACCACGGAGTGTTTGTAACAGAGTGTGCACACCTGAGTACTTTATACACAATTTTGAATAAAAATAGGAAGGGAACATTTGAAATGTGTACTTAGCACAGGCAGCCAAAATAAAGTGAGAAGGCAGCATGGGTGGGCGTCACTTTGTGTGTGTTAATTTGTATCTCAGTGTCTTATCCAAGGAAGACAAGAGTTGCAGCGTAGGTCCTCATTATACAATCTAGGATCTGCTGATTTCAGGTAAGCCCTTATTCAAAGGATCCTTTGAGAATATCTCTTATTCTTTGACAACTTTATACATGATACAATGTATCTTGATCATGCCTACCCCAGCTCCCACCTTGATCCCCTGTGGACACCCATAAAATATTCCCTTCCCACGCACTTGTTTTCCTGTCTTTCATTTTTATGACTCACCCAGCCTGGTCAGTGCTGCCTGTTGGGCCTAGAAAGCACTTTCAGTTTTATACTCACAAGTGAAATTTTGCTGTTCCCTTTAGGCTACCAACAGCGTTGGCTTTGGAAAAGACAGTGAAAGATCCATGACAGTGACCAAGTCGATAAAAAACGACACCCTTTCCACCCAAGAGAATCTGGTGCAGTGGGCATTGGATAATGGCTACAGCCCAGTGACGTCATACACCATGGTGCCTGTGGCGAATAGATTTCATCTCCGGCTTGAGAACAATAATGGTACGCGTGGTGTTCTGTCTCTTGGATGAAGTGTTTCTGTGAAAGACACTCACGTCCACGTGATGGCTACTGGTTTTCTGTGGTGCGGTTTGATAGTTTGTCTGACGGTGTAAAGCTTAAGCTCACGTAGTAATGGAGGCAGCCGTAGCGCATATGTTCCGTGATGGATTACATGTCAGGCATATTTTGTTCACCAAGTCTTCTGTGATTACATTAGAATGATTAGTGACCAATCACAACTGAGAAGACCAAGGGGGCAGGACCATTGAGGAAAAGCCTGTGGTCAACGGCTGAAGTTTATGGGAGAATAGCCATGGGGACTCAGACAGGGGAGAATTTCTTCATGGTGTGGAGTTTGGCTAGCAGAAGCAGAGTCTGCAAGACCTTGGGAGCATCTGGAGTTTTAAAGTAGGTGTGACCTGAACCCCCTAGTTCTCTGATCTCTGGACCTGTTCCTCACCCAATGGTACCGTGTGGCACAGTACTGATGGATCGAAGCTTCCCATTCTACCTTCCCACCCAGTTTTAGTGTTTCTTTACTATTCGGGGAGGTGTTACTTAATCCCCAAGCCTGAACCTCAGATTCCTTGTCAACAATCAAAATAACAAGAACAACATCTACCCTACTGAGTTGCCAAAATGTTTTGTTAATGTTTTCCGTGTGGGGTGGTAGTGTTTTTGTTTGTTTGTTTTTTATCAATGTGTGTGTTGAAAGCACTCCAAAGCTGTGACTTCCTTTGGTGCTTTGTCTATAACATCCTTTTCAAAAGGATCATGTTGAAGGAGGGGTCACATCTCCTACTGGTTTCTGCCTATCTTACCCTGAGCCTTAAGCATCCATCAGCTGGGCTCAGATAACCATGGATGCAGAGAATCCTGGGGAAACACGAGTTTCTCTCGCAATTATTGGAAACATGGCGATGCTCCATGTGGCCTTTACGGAATTCTATCTTCCTTTCAAGGAATAAGTGTGCCTAAGCGGCTCTCCTCTTCCAGAGTTGAGGTTCAAAAGGACCAGGGTACCTGGATATTGCCTAGATTTTTATCAGTCAAAAAGAAGGCAGCAAAATAATTCTAAAAGAGCAGTGTTAAAGAGGCAGAGGACTCACCCACTATGATAAAGAACCTGGGCTCGATCCTTGGTGCTGCAAAATATAACATAAAAATGCCAATGTTGTTTCAAGAGATATTTTGAGAGATGATTTTAAGACCCCTGGATTAAATGAAATATTTTAAGGACCTTTGCATAGCATGTTATTGCCCCAATTGGCACGGGGATATAGTTGGTGGGAACTTAGAAATTGTCGAGCAGAATGGCTCTCCGTTGTGGTCGAGCGTTGCCGTCACACTAGAAGCTCCAAACACTCACTGGAGCTGCATTTTATCCAAAGCCCCAAAGTGATTTCAACGTGAAGCCCAAGTTGAGGATCATGGTTACAATCCAAACTTTTAAAGTTTAAAACTCCGGAAACTGAGTCACAGAGAAATAAGTCACATGTCCGAAGCCACTCAGCTAGTTAGAACCCCCGATCAGAACTGGGGTTTCCACACTGCTTAGTCAGTTCTATGCCCTGCGCTTGGGCTCCAGTTTTGTTACCAGTCACCCCGTCTCTAACGATGACGCAGCCTGGCATCAGCCACTCACGATGCTTCACCTTTTGTTTCCACAGAGGAGATGAGAGACGAGGAAGTTCACACCACTCCTCCAGAGCTTTGGATCCTGCTGGGCCATGGCCACGGGCCTACCCTGGATAACCCACCCTTCCTGGGAGGGAAAAACAAAGATGAAGGTCTCCCGTTCTCTTTCGGGAATATCCCCAAGAAAGGCTGGAAGGAGGGAGAAGATAGGATTCTCCATCCAAAGAATCCTGCCATTCCCAGCATCCCACTGTTTCGGGACCACAGAGAGCTGGAAGAAGTACAGGGGGGTGTGGCCAACGCCTTGTCGGTCAAGTGTGACAGTGAAAAGCTGACCGTAACTGTGAGCAAAGACTCCCTCAGAGACTCTCTCAAGGTCAGTGGCTCAGTGTGGTCCTCCCAGGAAACGTTCCCCCAGCCAGCTGCAATCCTGCGTCCATTATTTCCCTGAAGTTATTTCACTTTTGAACCCTACACTTGGTAGTTTTTCCCCTCGTTGGATGGGCCACTTCCCCTGGGCTACAGCCCTCATCCGACTTCCTGTTGTTCTCAAAAGAGGAGAGGAGTTCAGATCCTCCTGTGTCAATATTTTGCTATTGGGTTTTCAGTGCCAACAAACACAATCGGGGGCTGTTGACAGGTGGTGGGTGAATGGGGAGAAGGTGGGAGGGGAAGGGGTATGGCGCAGGCCGCAAGCCGCCTCTGTCTGAGGTAGGCACTGCTCCTTCCCGGGTTCGTCAAGCAGCTGTGAAGCCCTCCACTCTGTTGTCCATTTCAGACCGGTAACTACTCAGAGATAGAGCTCACCCTGTCAAATCATTCCTGCAAAGCCAAAATGAACGGCACCCACTTTGTTTTGGAGTCCCCCCTGAATGGCTGTGGCACTGGACACTGGCGGTCAGCCCCTGACGGTGTGGTCTACTATAACTCGGTGAGTCCTGGTGGCATGGCTGTTTATCACTCAGTGTTAGTCCCCCCACGTCTCGGAAGACGACAGGGATGGAGATAAGGCCAGAAGTCAGATCTCAGCAAAATGAGATGGGCTTTGACCCCGAACTCTTGTTTTGGTTTGTCAGTGAGTCTGTGGGATTTGAAGGTTCTGTTTTCTCAGCTGGAGCTGTGGTAATCACACATTTCCTCCTTCCATCTGATGATGGTCAACCAGGAAGGAGACAGTGCCATCCTGCTCTGGTCACACCGGACGGTCAAATAGGTTGGTCTTGATGGGAGTAAAATCCCAAAGCCCTAGGTTATATGTGCATCTCCGGACAGCTGACTCCTTCCCTCATGAGTTTAAAATCAGAAAAAAAAATCCTGGTAAAATTATCTAGTCTCTCCACCTCTAAGAAAGACCCTAAATTTAAGAAATTTTATTTTTGAAGTTAATTGAGAAAAGGCTGCACAAGTGCCCCCCTCCCCTCTACAAAGATCATCCACTGCCATCCGTAAGATAGTGAGGTACTTGACTTGGACGTTTTAAACTGATTTCCAAATTAGCACTGGGAAGAAACGGTGATCTACTGAGTCTAAGGTCTCAATTGCTTCTAAAGAATAAGGATATCCTGGTCCCAGAAGTCACCTCTTTCTTGTATGCTTTTGTTTTCTTGACTGTTAAGAGCAAGGCGTGAATTCTCCAGCTGCTTGTCTCAGAGGCCTCCAAGCTCTCTTGCCTGCCTCTTCTTCCTCCCCCTCCTCCTCCCCCTCCTCCTCCCCCTCCTCCTCCTCCTCTTCTTCTTGGCAGCTCTCCACCTTTGTTTGAGGTGCAGCAGGTTAGCTCTCCTCCACGTTGACTGTAGATTTTGTTTGGGATGCAGCAGGTTAGCTCTCATCTGCACTCTCCACCTCTGTTTGAGATGCAGCAGGTTAGCTCTCATGCGCATTGACTGTAGATTTTGAACGTGGCAACAGGTTAGCTCTCATCCGCGTTGACTGTAGATTCTGAACGTGGCAACAGGTGTGTAAGTTCCCAATGTGTGGAGCTTGTTTGGTGAGTCCTCATCCTCACGACGTTTTCTGGACAAACATACCCGGATACGGTATGGGACAAACATTCCTTATTCCTTTGTCCGAGACGGCTTTATCGAGCCTGGCATCAATCCGCGCATCTGGAGTCCCCATCTCCTTCATGGCAAGTTTCCGGATGGCTTTGAGTGCCCAGGAGCACGCTTCTTGAAGCCCACGCCATGGATGCGCTTGTGAATGTTGATGGTGTTTTCTCGGGTCACCACCGCGATGCCTGCCTTCTTGCTCCTCCTAGTGTGTCCCCTTCCATGAATGACACAGCAGTTTGTAGGAATCTTCAGACTTCCTGTTTGTTTTTATTTTCCATTACGCTCACAATTTAATCATATGAAATGGGAATAAACCAGGATTTTATTTGTGGAGTTGTGATCTTTGGGTCACTTTTCCATTCTATTCAGAACCAACCCAGTAGAATAAGTTCAGCCAATGTTAAGACAGATTGTTGTGAATAGAACATTTTCTTTTTTATACTCATACACACAAGAAAAGATAGTGGGAAGGATTGAGAATAAAAAGGGGGCGGAGTATGCAAGACCAGAGAGGAGAAGAATTGCTCCATGGAAACATTAGGCGCCATGCTTCTAACTTAAACCAAACTTTCTGCAAACCTTCGAAGGTCCAGATAGAACCAGAGGTTTGCTCAGTGGGTAAAAACGCCTGATGCCTAGCCGTACAATGTGAGTTCAGTCCCCAGGACCCACATACGGGGAAAGGAGAGAACTGACTTGCAAAGTGTTCTCCAACTGTCTCTCTCTCTCTCTCTTTCCCTCTCTCTCTCTCTCTCTCTCTTTCTCACACACACACACACACACGCATTCATGTACATACACGCACACATGTACACACACGCGCGCGCGCACACGCAATCCAGACATTATAAAAGATCAAACACTGACACAAATTAGAAAGTGTCTGAGGACCCACAAGATGTGGGCCAATCTGTCAGCAGCCCCAGCTCCTCCACTTCCATGTCTAATGTCCCCACTATTTGACGTAACTTATAATTATTCAACATGGTTATAAATAAATCTATAATTTTTTGCAAGGAAAAAAAAATCCAAATTTTGGTTCAGATCTCCAGCTTGAGTTGAGCTTTTCTGTATTTTCCCATCACTTTGAGGTTTAAAATCCTAACAAGTTTGGAGAATTTGCTCTTGCTGTCGTTTGTATCCAGTCCGATTTTCTGTTTGCACCGAATTGTTCCGTGGGTGCACAGGCGCATGACTCAAAGCTGTGCATCTCCTGCATTCTAGATTGTGGTGCAGACGCCATCCCGTGGGGATGGCAGTGGCAGCGGGTCAGGTGGCTTTGAAGACTTGGAGTCAGGTGACAGTGGATTTTCAGGAGACACGGATGAAGGAGAGGCCATCCCCCTGAGCCGAGCTAGAACTGTGAAGGTATGTATTGGCTTCTCTTAGTGGTTTGCTTTGTTCTGTTGTGGATTACGTTGTTTATTTGGTTTGTCTTCACTGGGAACTGTCAAAACAATGAAAATGCATGTAAAAGACCAAAGTATGTGACTGATGTAGCCTCGTCTGCTTGGAGGTGTTCCAGTTTAACTGCAGCTTGCGGCAGCTGAGGAATCCCAGTGGCTTCCAGGATCCGCTCGATGGAAACATCACCTTCAACATGGAGCTGTACAGCACAGACCTCTTTCTGGTGCCCTCCCCCGGGGTCTTCTCTGTGGCAGAGAACGGGCATGTTTATGTGGAGGTAAGAATAGAGTGCTGGCCATGGGCATCCAGCCTAATACCCCGTGCAGCTCCTGTAACACTAGCTGACGCCTTCATCTAGGAAATAGCCTGGCTCAGAGAACTCCTCCAGGTCACTTTCTGACAAAAAAGGGGGGAGGGATATTGAGATGTTATGGCATATGCTAAATGGATGTAGTGGTTTTTTTGGTAAATGCCAAAAAGAAAAAAGTGAGAAAAATGTGATGTCTACCAGTAAAGCACCCTGCTTGTTTCACGGTCCACACTTTTAAAAAGGGACAGTTTTGTTCATTCATCCAGTGTGAGAGTTAGGCATGGACGCTTTCAGATTGCCTCCCACTTTATCTTGGATTTCCTGTCGAGTGAAAAGCTCTGTGTGTGTGCACATGCGTGCGTGTGTGTGTGTATGTGTGTGTGTGTGTGTGCATGCATGTGCATGTGTGTGCGTGCGTGTCTGTGTGTATGCATGTATGTGTGTGTGTGTGTGTGTGTGTGCATGTCTGTGTGTGAAGTTGTTTCTGCCAAGTCATTATCTAAATCTCCTCCCGAATTTGTCAAAGCCATTTCCCATTTCCAACAGCAGTCATCACACAGAGCTTAAATCTGGAATGTCTATGAAAATATTAGGCAGTGGTGGTAATAACGAAATAGTAACTGCTGATATGTATTGCTGTTTCATGACGTACCGAATGCAGTTGTGAATATCATCACCATGAATTGACTTGTTAGCAGGATCCTGTAAGAGTGGACTCATTTTTAAGATCCGACTTTCAGATGAGAAAATTAAGATTCAAGACGTCCAAAGTAGAGCAGCTGTGGAGTCCTACCTCTCGAGGCCACGCTACTGGCCACCAGGCGCCTCTGTCATGGCCCCTCAGCTTGTCATTTGAAAGGGAAGAAAAGATAACACCGTATCAACATCAGTGTCTAAGTTCACAGATCCATTCTGGGGAAGATGGACCTACGGCAGCAGGCTGTCTGCCGTCTGTGTGTCCTGGGCAGAGTCTGTAGTGTATTGGCATAGCATCTGCTGGTCTCACCGAAAGGCATCTTTGGCTTTGGCGTGAAGCTGCTGGCTGCCGTTGTGCCTCACCGTGGGAGGGTTAGAAGCTTCCTTAGGTGACAGCCACTGCAGAGCACCTTTATCATTTCCAAAGACAGACAGTGCGCGTGGGCACTGGGTTGGCGTGGAGCCAGGGAGCCCACCATGCTTTCTGAGGTCATAGTGGAGCCGACTTCCCCGCTGCCCCTCCCCCATGTGCGTGCACAGCTTTGGGGGAACCGCTGCTCTGTGTTGCTCCTAACCATGATTGCCCCTACAACAGGGCTCTTTTCCTCGGCCTTTTCTGTGTTCACAGCCCACAGCCTCATTAGTCTGACTCCTGACTCTGCCGTGGGTTGGAAAAGACACTACTTAGCTTACAGCTTGCTCTTCTCCAAGCGCATGCCTAGATCTGTTCCTTTGTGGCTTTGCCAATTTATGCCAGCCAGTGGCTAATCTGCCTTGTGTATCCCACCTTCAGTATTTTCCTTTTTCTCTCCTCTTGAAGTACTCGCTTACTTGAATTGTGTTGTTGGGAGGTTCACTCTCCCATCCCTTCTGTCCCTTCTACATTTCACTCTTGTTTTTCCTTCTATTTCTTTTCACTTATCATATTTTTATAGTTAAGTTTGACTTTAAAAGTGGATCAAAGCCGGGCGGTGGTGGCGCACGCCTTTAATCCCAGCACTCGGGAGGCAGAGGCAGGATCTCTGTGAGTTAGAGGCCAGCCTGGTCTACAAGAGCTAGTGCCAGGACAGGCTCCAAAGCTACAGAGAAACCCTGTCTCGAAAAACTAAAAAAAAAAAAAAAAAAAAAAAAAGTGGATCAAATATTTTTTTGCTGCTTTACATATCAAGTATGTTAAGAAGGATTTGGAACTGGGGAGTAGTTATGAACCGATTTAAACTTGATTGAAGCTACCTAAAACCTGAAAGAATCTGTAAATGTTTTGCTAAATAGGGTAGCAACTGGCCATGCCCTGTCTTTCTTTCCCTGTTTGGACTCCTCCTCTGGTAGGAAAATTTTTTTACTTATGTAAAATAAAACTTCATAAATCACTGGCTTAACCTGAAAAGTCATTTCTTGGTTTCTTCTCCAGCTGCCCTCCTTAGCCTTTTCTGGAACCTTTACTTCCTTTAGTCCACAGTTCTTTCCCCTAATCCAAGGTGGTCACTCCTGGGTGACGCCTGGTGATAGACTCAGTTCTTCTTCTCAGTTCATCCGGCCTAGTCAGCATCTAGAGTCGCACTGCTAACAGTGGGAGTTCTTACAGGCCGGGACCCACGCTGTTGGCGTGAGCCTCTTCTAGTCGCTGTTTCTCACACTAACTGCATCTTCTGCATTAATTGCCGCTGCCATCCTGTAGGTGGGAAGAGAGCTTTTGGTCCACACGTCAGGAGCAGAGTGTGGGGATTCCTGGGTCTGGTCTCATCCCCAGCCTATAATCTTCCTACCATTCACTTCTGGTCCATTCTGCAGCAGGACCTAAGGTTTTTCTCCTCCGAAGCACTGAGGAGACAGTCTAAGCAGACATTCTGCCTTTGCATGCCTTTGAAAGTGAGAACAGAGTCAGTATAGTTTTACACTGAAGACTGAGTTCATGTTAAATAGCACTTTGTGGTTTAACATGTATGTAACTTACCTGGTAATTTCTCTAAGACAGAATAGCTTGTTCCTCAGAAATAACTCGCAAAGATAGTGAAGGTAGTATTTGTGGAATGTTAAACACGGCGGCAACATCGTAATCAGCTTTGCCCTCTGTTCATGTCCGTGTTGAATGTCCCACAGTTACCAGTGTGCGATCTTTGGGTGTGCTATGGATGAGGGTTCCTGCAGTGTCGGGGATTTCCCCTGGGCGGGTTCCAAGTGCAAGGTTTGTTTATTATCTCTGTCTTTTTAAGCATTTGGGGGCTCATGGTGTATGGATGAGGACTAGCTTTATTTCTAAAGTGTTGAAGTTTATTATTTATACTTGGTTTAGTCAAGGAAAGAGGCACCGAAGTCAGGCGAGCAGTTCACACAGCCATCACACATCACCAGACAGTAAAGCCAGTCTTGCTCCAGGGATTCTAGCAGGGTTCAGGAGAGCTAAGGTTTGAATGCTGTTTACATTTGGCTAAGCACTCCTTCCCGTGTCTAAACAAAAGAAACCTCAGTAAGATCTAGACACGGCACACACATGTAAGAGGGAAATGGAAATGAGTTGGAAATGTCTCCAGGTTAGTTTTCCCTTTAAAGCCCCCCCAGGGGGATTAAAGAATGGCAGGAGAGTTCTTGGCAAGGCTGGCTTGGTGCCAGGTTGGTGACGGCCACCGGGTCACACTGTCCCTGGTACAAAGCACCACGGGCCTGCTGACTGACAAAGCAGGCTGCGTCTACCACATCCTGCTCTCCTGGCCTTGCTCTGCTTTCTCGAGTAGTCCTGCCTGCCTCTCCAGCACGTGGATTCTCCTCCGTCCTGAGCTACAGGGCAGCATTAAAAAACACTGGTCCCGGTCATAATCTGCTATTGTGGCATTGCGGGCTTCGCCTGTGTGTGCTTATTTCAGAAAATCCACTCAGGTGCATAATTTAATTTTACTTTTTTATCTCCGAGGGCTTACAGAGGGCCAGAGAGCCTTAACCCATTTTGTATTTGTAACTTGCAGCGTTTGAATTAAACAGTTTGTTGTCATTTGCGTCAAGTTTAAATGGGAAATATCTTTCATCAATCAGTGTGTGTTTCTGTTACTGCTAGAGAACTGTAAATACGTTATGAAAACAGAGCAGTGTTACCCAAAGAGCTGTGTCGGGATAGTGTCTGGGTGGCTAAAGTACAAGATGCCTGCCATTTCTGACTCCGCCTTGTTCCTTGGCAGGTATCCGTCACCAAGGCCGACCAAGAACTGGGCTTTGCCATCCAAACCTGCTTTGTCTCTCCATTCTCAAACCCGGACAGGATGTCTGATTACACCATTATCGAGAACATCTGTCCCAAGGATGAGTCTGTGAAATTCTACAGCTCCAAGAGAGTGCACTTCCCCATCCCGCACGCCGAGGTGGACAAGAAACGCTTCAGCTTTGTCTTCAAGTCCGTGTTCAACACCTCCCTGCTCTTCCTACAGTGCGAGCTGACGCTGTGCACCAGGAGGAAGGGCCCGCAGAGGCTGCCGAAGGTGAGTGGGCTCTCGTCTGTCTGGACCGCAATTTGGGCATATTTAGGTCAAGAGACGCCCTAATGGGAACGTGGAATCCAAGTTCCTGCAGGCTGAAGTTGTAGTTTTGAGTTTTTGAAGTCTGGTTGAAGCGACAGGGAACATGTGCTTTAGGTTTTGGAAAATAAACCCTGACAGTGAGTTAGTTTTTCCGTACGTGCGCTTAGCTGTACCTTAGGGTGATAACCCAGGAATGACTTCCACCAAGGGAGAGGCTGGCCCTGGCTCTGTTGGTCAGATAGTGTGCTGTGCCAGAAGAACAAGGAATCGAAAGAACGAGATCAGTGTGAGGATTAATTTTTCCAGGTCCCAGTGAGACTGGGATTGCAATTGTTTTTTTGACCTTCTCTGTGTGGGTTATAAGATGGCCTTATCTTGGAGGATTTCTAAGGGAAACTAACAAATATTTTCATTTCGCCTGGTTTCTTATCAGCTCATCGTATTTGCCTCGTGTCGTTGCCCATATTAAACGGCTATGTTCTGTTGCCACAACAGAAATTAGAACCCTTTGACCTTGTCGGAGCAGCCACTGCAGGGGCTCAGTTGGGTCAACTGTGACACCTTGTTAGGTCTGCCTTGTGTGGGACAGGTATCTCCTGCTGTTGCTATGAGCTAATGTGATTTCATATAATTTCCTCTGCGTGTTTATTCTGTAACTGTTACACACAGTCTAAATTGGATTCTAATTCCCTTGGAATCTGGGATCTACTAGTGTCTCAGAAGTCCAGAATCAAGCTGTAGCATTTATATGTTTAGAATTCTCTTATACAGAGACTGGAAGAAAAAGCGGGTGGAGAAAAATACCTATTAAATAGATTTCTACTGACCTGAATTACTTGAATCATTTCCCTGAGAAGTCACTGAGTTTTGTCTACAAATTAATACACAGCCGACCACCAATCCTCAGGGAACAAAGCCAAAGACTCGGGCTCTGCTCACCTGTCTGCTTCTATAGCCACTGCTACCTTTAGTCCTCTAGAAATGAAAGTAACACACACTTCCCTTCTGGGTAGAAGAGCAAAGGAGGCGGGATGCTGAGGAGGAACTGTTAATGCCTTCTTAAAGGCAGCAGTTCCCTGTTCCTAGTAACTCCTGAGTACTTCTGTGACCTTCTAGGAAAAGGTACCCATGATCACCGAGTCTTGCCCTGCCCTTTGCTGTGAGTTAAGTGTCTGGCCCAGGGTCAGCCTCTGAGACAGAGTTAGCATCGTACGTTCTTAATTAACTGGAGGGCTAGCCAGAGAGTCAAGGGAGCTACAGCAGTGAAATGAGCTTCACGTCTTCTCAACAGCACGCCTTCTTCCCATCATGACATGTCTTTCCCTCTGCAGCAAAGTTCTTCTCAGGGTGTTAGGGTTTCGGTGTCTTCTCACAGTGTGTATCTGGCTTGTGTGTGGCCCAGAGAAGCATATCAGATATGATACCCTCCACCTCCAGACATGTCATCCCTGATAACTTTCCAGACTTAAAATAGCTAGAAACTGCTGGTCTCATACTTCCACGCCTGGGTGACATAGTAGAACATGTGTGAGGTGCTGTGTTAAATGTTTGCACCAGGGGAAAAAACGAAAAGTCCAAACCAAAACAAACAGAATTTTGTAGAATGTAAAAAAAAAAGTCCAACAAGTATGACAATATGTTTACAATTATCAACAGATATAAATTCTATCATATCGCAATAAATGCAGTTTCCCACAATCACAGATTGTAGATGTTATCACAAAGAAGCCATTATTGGACAGGGCCAAGAACATCACATCTGTAGTTTACCCATTTGTCAAACGAATTCTGAAACTGTTTGTGGGGAGGGGCCGAGGAGGATGTCTGTAAGCTTTCTGTTGATATTTGCATCTTCGAGAACAGTGGAAACACACCAGGGCTGCCTTGCTGTCTCCCTGATTATTTAGGGTTCTTTGAAAAGCACACAGATGTCCTTCCTGTCTTCCCCATGTTAGCAACCATGAGCTCTCTGGTGAGGGACCAGAAGACAGCATGCACACAGATGCCCTGTCTTCCCCATGTTAGCAACCATGAGCTCTCTGGTGAGGGAGCAGAAGACAGCGTGCACACAGATGCCGTCTTCCCCATGGTTAGCAGTCGTGAGCTCTCTGGTGAGGGACCGGAAGACAGCATGTGCAGGACTTGTGACTTCCCTATGAGCCATGACCGTGACTGCTTTGCTCCGCCTCTCCGCAGTGCGTGAGTCCTGATGAGGCCTGCACCTCTCTAGATGCCGCCATGATCTGGACCATGATGCAGAATAAGAAGACGTTTACCAAGCCCCTGGCTGTGATCCACCAGGCAGATTATAAAGGTGAGAAGGTGGGGCCTAAACCTGCTCCTCGTAGACATCCCCAAAACACACATGGCGAAGGAGAAGATGGCACCTGCAAGGTTCCTCTGACCTTCATCTGCACGGTGTGACACACACATATGCACACATGCATGCACACAGACACAAGGAGTAATGTTTCCTCTGACCTTCATCTTCACGGTATTACACATGTGTCTCCACACAGATACACAGAATAGTAAATGTCATCCGACCTTAACCTGCATGATATGATACATGCACACACACACACACACACACACACACACACACACACACACACACACAGAGTAAATAAGTGTTTTTAAAAATTCAGTTCTGTAAATCGAAGTCCAGTTTTGTTCAAAAAAATAAAAGCCAGTGCTAGTGAGATAGCTCAGCGGGTTAAAGGTTAAAGCCATAAAGCCTGACTACCTACATTGATCCCTGAACTCACAAGGATGTAGAATGAGAAATCCAACTTCCCCAAGTCGTCCTGACATCCATCCGCATGTGTTCCATGGTACACACATGCACACGCATGCACACCCACCTGTAATGAACACATGAATGTAAAAAAAAATAGCATAAGGAAGTCAATATAGAAAATACTTCTTTGCCCCAAGAGAGTTCCAATTCTGCCACTGTGCTGTGTGTAATTATTTACAAATTCTTTTTTAAAGAACAGATGAGGGGCAGAGAAACAGCTCAGTGGAGGAAGGCTAGATAGGCATAGAAGACAGTGGGTTCGATCCACGCACCACGAAAAAATGACATCATCGTAAAGGCTGGCTCCGCCGTGCTCCTCTCCTGCATTTCAGATGTGCTCCTGTGGTCTGTGATGTGCTGGGACTTGCATGCTTGCACGGCCCAGCTTTCCATGATATGCTCACGGGTCTGCTCACTCCGTGCTACAGAAACGCTTCATCAAGACCACAGCTACCTCTGGGAGGGCTTCTCATCCGTGGGCATCGTCCACTCAGGAATACTGGAAGGAAGCTGAGATTTACGAAGGAGTTTTCAGAACTCCATTGCTCCTCCTCATTCCCAGGGTTTCCATTCCTTCATGTGTAAGAACACTCACTGAGCTATACTGACTAGGAAAGAAGGACAGACATGTCCTGAAATGTGTGGTGTCAGCACCGGGGCGACAGGCAGGCCCAGACAGCCAGCGGGGAACTCCAGGGACTGCGGGGAGAGCATCACAGCCCCAGGGACCCGAGAAAGCCAGGATGCATCAGGCAGCTGTCAACAGCTGAGGGGTGGGGCCGCATGTCGCATGGGTGATCTGAGTAGCTGCCGTCCTCCCTGTCTAGAAACAGCCTGTTGCTCCCCAGAAGCCTTGCTCTCAAAGGGTGTCAAGCTGAGAAAAGACTGGCAGAGTGAGCGGGATGAGAGGGGGTGTCAAGCATCCAGGGTGAGATATGCCAGCACTGCAGTCGTGGACCGTGTCCTGCCACCCTGAAGGGCAGAGAGAAGCCTAGCAAAAGCCGGAGAGCAGCTCAGTCCCGGCTGCTGGGCATTAGAGGGGAGCCGTGGTGGCTGGTGCTGACACCAGATCTGGGGTGCCCTGGGATGGTACTTTGGGGCCAGGACTGGCAGGACTTAGCAGTGGGTGGCTCTGGAGCAGTCGTGAGCTACCAGAGAAGAGACAGGTGGGTGCTGGTCAGTTTCTCAATAAGGGGTGGCCATTCCAGGTGTCTCACCCCTTCAAAGAGGCAAGAGGTAGAGACTGGCTCACAGCCCACAAGTTGGGCCACTGCCCTTATTCCCTCCATACCCAGCGGGCTATGGCAAGCCCTCACGACCTCCCTGGTTCAGGTTCTTATCTGGAAAGGAGAGGTTAGAACAGGGACATGCAAGCCCTTGCAGCCCCGACACTTGGCTGAGCTGTTAGGAGGAGCAAACAGATTCCAGTTCATTTCCTAACTGCCCTAGATGCTGGGTGCACACGTCAAGTGTTTATTGGGTTTTGTCTTGAATGTAGCTTGTTAGGCTTTTATTGGTTGGTTCTCAGTCATTCAGTAGGTAGTCTCACTTCAACTGGGTTGCCCAAACACTGCTACCCTTATCGTTGCGTCCAGGGGGAAGGAATAGGAATGAATTGCCTTGCAAAGAATTCATAGTTGAGAACAGCTGACTGTGTTTCTGCTATAAAAGTAGTTAGCAATAGCAGCAGCCACCTTGCTCCCTGTCCCTTACCCTTACCCTATTTTGAGAGCACGCATTCAGCTGGTAATTGAACGCAGCAGCTGGTTGTGCCCCGTGCCAGACAGTACTTAGGCATTAATATTACAACACTATAACTTCAGCAATTCTTTCATTCTTTTTTTAAAACTCCAGTGGTATTTTTCTAAGTAATTTCTCTTGTAAACTAGGCAATTACTTTTATTTAAACTTAGAGTCATTATACTGAACACTCTGTGTTTTCTTTACATAAACGCTCAAGAGGAAAGTGTTGTGTTTTTTAACTGGATATCAAAGCGATTTCATGAGATTCGCTAATTGAGGTGAGATTTTAGTGGAGAAGCAAGTGGGTGAACAGTTTATGCTTAGGTTTGTGAAACAAATCGAGGAGGTTGAACTGCAGTTTCCCAAGGCTGTATGCAAATTCATCTTCCTTGGCAGGAGTAGGGGGGTTTGCTGCTGGGTTTTCGCTCCATAATGCCTCCCCTTACCTTTTGTGTTTATTTTCATTGGCTCTGAAATCATTCCATGTAGATCACTGAAATCTAATCTTTCAGCCACACAGGGCACTGGAATATTTTTGGGGAAAGGCAGGTGACCATTGGCCCATTAGCAGTGGTGTATTTAAACGACAGTAACTAACGTTCTTTCTTGGAGTGGGAGACCAGAGATGACCTGTGGGGTAAGAGTGCCTAGCAGCTCCACTGTCCTGGTCCATTCCTCCTGACATCCTTACCATAGAGCCAACTGTCCTTGGCCATTTGGCCTGTTTTTTTTTTTTTTTTTTTTTTTTTTTTACAGTTGAGGTTTTCGGGACGACAGATGCAGGCAGAGAGTAGCAACTACCACTACCAATAATGATGACATCTTCAGACAGTGTTTCCTCCTCTGTGGGCAGGGAAAGTGGCCATCAAAGCTACATGAATAATTCTAGGTTCTTTTAATAGGCTACCATTCTTAGTGGAACCTTTGGTCTCTGAGTCCTTTAGAATCAGCCTTGGCTGATCATCGGGCTCCTTTACGCTTCACAATAGATGAAGATGCCGGACTGTTGAGGTGTTAGCGATGGTGATGAGGATCCAACATTCACGAAGCGTTTCTTTTGCTCAAGGCCCTGTCCTGAGTGCTTAGGGTGTTATCGAGTTTAGCTCTCACAGAGGCTTTGCGGAGAGGATGCTTTAACAAGCATGGCCACACACCTACATATGGCAGACCAGGATGCGAATCCATTCCTTTGATTTTACACCTTTTGCAAACCCCCATATGCCTCCTCCTCCCATGGCCACTGTTATCAAGACAGCAGTCAAGTAATCCAAAGAATATGAACTGAAAGTCAGGTGAAAGATTAAAAAAAAAGAAAGAAAACACATTTCTTGACAGGGTTAAAATATTAGGGTGTGTTTAAAAGTGCAGACTCAGACATTCTGTGACTTTATGACTTGAGCACACACAAAAGCAGAAAACAAACAGCTGATGCATATTATGGCTTATGGCAAAACAATTAGAATAGCTGAGGCAGTGCCACCCTGCCATCGTCTCTGAGATGCTTCAGCGCTTTGGCAGCTTTCCCGGCTTTGCCATGATTTATACTCAGCTTTTAATTCCTAGCAAGTTAAACTTCAGGAATTCTGGATTTTCTCCACACTTGAAAATAAAAGCACCTACCTATCATGAGCACTCAGTAAATGTGGATTTCTTCCTTTCCTCTTGGTCAGACTGGGGTTCTTCTAGGAGAGAAAGGTATTGGGAATCTGTTTCAAATGTCAGTTGGAAATTAATCTAAAAGAGGCGTGACATTTTGGAACACATTTGGATTTTCCAGAACCAAAAATACTCTTAAAAAAAGAGTTTGTCCTCAGGTTAAAGCAGAGATGAGGGAAAGACTGGAAATGCTGGCCGAGCGAGGTCTCGGTTCCTGAGGGAGCAGGGGATAGAACTCTCATCGGTCCAGCTGCTTCACAGTTTTGAAAAGCTGTTATTAAGAAGATTTTAAATGTATGTAAAATTAGAACGAACCCTCCAGGAACACATTATCCGGTTTTAGCAACTACATATTCATGGTGAATCTTGTTTGGCCACTTCCTGTGGCCCATTTGTGTGGAAGGAAACCAAACAGTTCCATCCATCAATAATCCAGGAGATACCTCTCTGAAATCTAAGAAGCACCAAAAGATCTTGAGAAGGCTGGGCGTGGTGGCACACACCTTTAATCCCAGCACTTGGGAGGCTGAAGAAGCCAGATCTCTGTGAGTTCAAGGCCAGCCAGGGCTATATAGGGAGACTCTGTTGAGGGAGGGCTCCAGGGTTTAGGATTGTTTAGGATTACCACTCTGAGAGCAGGGCAAGTGTGCTTCTGGGAGAAAACCAGCAAGAGAACATGAAATGATACTCTGGGTTGTTAATTCCAAAAACAGGTTTTCTGAGTCCCTAAGTAGGGACTTTGTAGTACAATGTTTCTCACTCTGAATAGCACCCACCTAGGGCTGGATAACTCTGATGTGGGCGCCCTGTAGAATTAGCATCATCCTTCATTTCTAGAAACCTCCATATTTCCAAAGAGCCTCCTGCCCTGTCCCTGGGTGAGGACCACTGTCTAGTGGCAGAGAAGTTAAGAGGCCAATGCAAAGCCTGCCATAAATACTGAAAAGAGCCCAGAGCAAGAACCAGAATCAGCCGAGCAAGGTTAGGGGGAAAAAAACCACTCTTGAGTAGCCGCCCAAAGTCATCACTCCCCCAACCCCCACCCTATTTCTTTGTGGGCCTTCTCAGCCCTGCAGTGTTTACAAGAACTGAATTAAAACGGGAGGCCAAAGGCTGTGGTCAGTTACTCATGCATAACCTACCCCAGACACGCCGGTTGGCGAGAGCTAGTTCTGACAATCTGGGGAGGGAGGTTTGGGTTCTAGAGGTAAACCAAAATTTGTTCAGACTATATGAGAAGATTTGATCCAGAATGTTGATTATAGTGTATTCTTTCTGCAGAGAGAGATCCACCGTTAAAATTCTCTTTACAGCAATATCTAGGATTCCTTTCTAACAATCCTTTCCCTAAGTAAATACGGCTGTTCCCTTCCTTTCGGCAGGCGGGTTCAGTTGTAGGGCGATGGAAGAGATGAAGCTATTTTTTGCTATAGTCAGAGTTATGGGGAACTGGGGAACAAGAAATGTTAGTTGGTGAATCCTGGAGCCTCAGCTTTGCGGGTGGGGCTTGTCTCTAAACGGATGGTCACGACAAGACTTGACGGAAGGAAAGAAGGCAGGGCTGTTTCTGCTTAGCTCTCTGGGAGGGCCCTATTTGGGGTGAGGGGAGTATTAGATCACAGCATAAGTCCATTTTTAAACAGTACCATCCATCACAAAGACCTTGCCATAAAACCTAAATTCTTACATGTGAGGTCCTCCCTCTGGGAGAATCCTTCTTTTCAAACCACGTGGGGATTCTGAGTGACACAGCGTAACCGCAGGTGGAAGGCTGGTTGGAGCTCTTGCCAGAAGTGTGTGTATACTTCTTGCTGATGCACGCTGCTGAGACCTTCAAATGCCTTCGCACTTAGTTCAGTGAGCCAAACCGTTACTTCTTGAAAGTAGGTGGATTTGTGGTCAGATGCTCACACTTCAGAGAGTTCCTAGGGGTATGAGATAAGAGACGGAGACTTTTTGTCTACTTTAGAGTATTGTCCAAATTTACAAATGTCAGTGCTAGTGTTATTATTGCTGCCATTAAGATGACACCCAGGAAAGGGCATTTTAGGCAAGCACCCTACCAACTAGGCTACATCCCCAGCCAGGAAATGCATCTCTAGAAACATGCATTTTATTATTTTATGTGTGCAGGCATTTTGCCTTCACATTTATCTGTGCACCGCTTGCCTTTCTGGTGTGCTCAGAGACCAGAAGAGAGAATCAGAACCCCTGAAACTAAAGTTATAGATAATTGTGAGCCACCATGTGGGTGCTGGGAACCCAGCTATTGTAGAAGAACAGCCAATGTTCTTAACCACGGAACCACCTCTCTAGCCCCTAGAAAATGTATCTTATATAGTTAGTTTTTGACTGTTGAGTTCTGCATACTAAATTGTATCATTTTTCCTTAAGACTGTGTTCTAGCTTCACTTCTGGGGCTGTAATAAAATATCCAAACAAAACCACCCACGTAGAAGAGGAGGGGTCTATTTAGCTTCTCTCCCAATTTAGTCTGTCACTGGGAAGAACTCGAAGCAGGAACTTCAAACATCTGGTCACACCACACCCGCCATCAAGAGCAGAGAGAAGTGGATGTGTACCTGCTTGCTTGCTTGCCTATACTCAACTCCATTGCTCCATTATGCAAACGTAGGGCCCTTGTTCTGGGAATAGTGCCTCCCACACTGGGCTGAACCTAAGCCAGCTAACTTAAGACAGCCCCCCAACAGACCACCCAATCCAATCTCAACAGTCCCTCAGTGAGACAACCTTCAAGCCAAACTGTCACAAGCAGGTTCTCATCGAGTGGGTCAAACAGGCCTGAGGCCACTGTGTGTCCAAGCTGCCCTCGAACCCATAGCCATCCTGCATCCACCTCCCAGGGACTGGGATGTAGGATCATAGACTGTGCCTGGCTCCTGGATTAATTTTTTAAGACACTTTAATTTTCTTAGTGATTGTATTGACGTATAACTTGAATGTCTCCTCAAAGGGCCACCGTGACACTCAGATTCAGGGATCCATACAGTAGCTGGTTACCTCCTCAGAACCGGACCTGGCCAGATTGTGATGGTTAACCCCAAGAATTCCCGTCTCCATTCACACTGTCAACCTTATTATTTATTTTTGTAAAGACCAACTTGCATTATTTTGTTCTAAATCCCACAAGTTCTTTTTTGTTTTGCTATGAATCCAAAGACTAAGTGTGTCCTTCTTTATGAATGATGATGAAGTTAAAGCCGAGAGGCACTTAGGACATACCACTTTGAACTCCAAAGAGAAAGGTGGTATCTGAGCCAGGGCCTCTTCACTCTTTCTCTATAAAAAAAACTGGATAGATAAAGTATTTGGTTTGGGGACTGTCCAGCCCCGTCTCAAGTGTCTGGTTCTATTGCTGCGGCAGGAAAATGGCTGTAGATCATGTGTGCTGTGCACGACCACGGAATACTGCTTTTGGGACAAACTTGAATTTCATGTAATTTTCACCTCCTGCAATATTCTTCTTTTGCTTTCTTAAATAAATCATTTCAAATTACAATTTCCCGTCTCAGGCCAGAGTGTCCTCACCCTGGTTTAAGCTCCTCACACTGAGGAGAGCAGCAAGCACTGGGCACAAGCAGTTACTAAATCAGAGTTTCTCCAGCTAAGGACAGGGCACACCCCCCCACCCTCCCTCCCACCTGTAACCCATGAAGCCAGAGTCAGAAATCCTGGTTCAGCCTTTCACTGATGTTTCCCAGCTGTGATCTTGAACTGGTCACAGGACATCAGAATCTCAGGCCACTCGTTTGTAAAACAGGAACTGCAAATTCTCTTTCTGACGGCCTCAAAGGACCAGATTTAACATCACTGAAAACCTTGGTCTTGTGGCGTTCTAAGACCAGGAAGCATCTAAGCACAAGGTGTTCTGGTCGTCTTATTAAGGGTGTCAGCATCACCTTCACCAAGCATTCCTGGAAGTCTGATTCTCTGAGGCTTCCCCTAAAGGCAGTGCAAGGAAAATGTTGGGACCCTCTACAGGCCTTGCCACGCCAGCCAGCGTGTCAGAGCGTGACCTGTGTAGCTGAAAAGGGGTGGAGTGAGAATATGGGAGAGGTCAGCCCTGAAGGATAGAACCAGGGCCAGCGAAACAGAAATTGGCTTAGAAAGTGTGACGAAACTGGGGACTGAAAGGAGCCAGTAGGACATTAAATAGGGAGGAGCCACCAGCATCCATGAGTGAAGGACCTGGGAAGGGGGAGGGAGGGGAGAAGCTGTGTTTCATGCTAAACTGACTGGATTTGTTTTTCTCTGTACACAAAGGGTAGTTAGTCACTAGCAGGACTCTGGAGAATTCCCTTTGGGGGAGTTGTGCAGGAGAGAACATTTGGAGTTTGATGGGAAGAGGGAGGGTCTGGTAATGCCAGAGCAGAACTAAACCCTGTGGTTAAGGAGATAAGAAATGATGTTACGAAAGCCACAGATTTTCCCCAACAGGGTCTCACTGTGTGGCTCTGGCTGTCCTGAGACCCTGGTCACTATGTAGACCAGACCAGACTCGGCCTCGAACTCACAGAGATCTGTCTGCCTCTGCCTCCCAAGAGCTAGGATTTAGACTTGTGCTACTATGCCCGGCAAAAAGCTGTCAATTCTTAAAAAAATATTTCAAGGGGGGAACAGTTTTGTGAACGTATTGGAGAAGCCTGGTGTTTGGAGGTATTGAACAGTAACTAGAAAGATGAATGAATACATGCACACTCTGTCAGATCCGAAGTCTTTAAATCGAGCTGCTTGCCTTCAACTTCAAATGGCAGAGCCTCTGTAATTGGTCCCTAGCAGAATACAATGCCTGGAATTTCTGAGAGGTGCCTTTGATACATTAAGAGGAACTTTAGCGGTGGTTTCAGGAAGTGTTTATTAGCTTGGGCTAGAGAGAAGGCTCAGCAGGTAAGAGTGGCTACCTGCTCTTCCAGAGTCCCAGCACCCAAGTCAGGTGGCTCACAACCACTCCAGCTCCAGGGATCCAGCACTCTCTTCTGTTCTCTAGTAGTACACGTACACACACGCTCTCTCACACACACACACGTATTTATTAACACTTAGGAAAATGCCCTTCTGCTGAGAGTCTGATGATCCCTTGCGTAAATGCAGTGCATTGTGACTTATGCTTTTGTTTCAGAAAACGTTCCAGACACTAAAACTAAGGAGTCCGGTCCAGTTCCTCCCCCTCCACGTAAGTCTTTAAGCAACTGTTTCCAAACAATGCCTCTGGGCTTTTCTAAGAATGTGTTGGTGGTGGAAACCTTGCCAAGCTGAACTGATAAGGCAGCTCTGCCTCCTTCCCTCTTTCCTTTTCTCACTTTTCCCCCTCCCTCTGCCCTTCACCCTGTCTGTCCTCCTTGTTCTGTGGTCTCTGCCTTGGCCACGTTAAAATCCTGACTTGTTGACCCACTAGCGCAGGCAGCCTGAGTGTGAAGGCTACAACTTCACACTATCAAGTTAATTGTTTTCATGCTTTTTCCTCTTGTGCTGGAAGAGTTTGCTTCAAGCTTCAGGGTGATTCCTTGCTCAGAGAGATGGTGCTAAGGAAACAGCACCGCACACTTAAGGTGGGAAGAGCCGGAGAGGGTAAGGAAGAGAATGAGAATTCAGTATCATTGGTACAGAACGTTGGGCATCATGTAGGTCACTATCATTTTGAATATATTTGCATGAGTTATCGTTGGCAGTGAAGCCAGGCCCACCCAGAGTTCTTTTTGTTCTTGTGTCCCTGTGAAGAGAATCTGTGTTGCTTCCTGGGGCTGGTGTCCAGGGCTGACCCCAAGATGTACACAACATCCTTCTTTCTTTCTTCTTTCTTTTTTGTTTTGTTTTCTTTTTTGAGACAGGGTTTCTCTGTATCGACCTGGCTGTCCTGGAACTCACTCTGTAGACCAGGCTGGCCTCAATCTCAGAGATCCACCTGCCTCTACTTTCCCAGTGCTGGATACAAGTCGTTCTTTTTAATGCTTTTCTACAAAGCCCCACGAATGTCCTAAGTGACTTATTTCCAGGAGATTATGAAACAGGAGCACCACACACTCAGTAACAGACATGGTGTAGACACGTTCTTTTATACTCATTGGGCTGATTTTCATAAATGACATCTCTACCTTTGGAATTTCAGGATGTTTTTACTAAAAAGAAAGTTACCATCAATCTCTCCTTGCATTCATAGGCATAAGAAGGCACATTGCCTTTTTGCATCTGTCCCATGGACTAGTTTATGCTTGGGGGCTGATGGCTGGTCTGTCGTTCTGACTTCCACCAGCTCTCCCAGGTTCCCAGCTCCTGCCCAGGACTGCTCATCTGTTGTAATAGCTCTCTCTGTGTTACTCCTACCTGTGGTGGGTGGAACCACCCTCAGTTTCCCAGAAGGTAATGAACACACCAGCAGACATAGCTGGAGGAGCAAGGTCCTTCTTGACTCCTCGCATAGGGAGTTACCTAACAGAGAGACCTCTGGAGTGCCTGGCTGGCCTAGGCTCACATGAGCATATAATTGACTCTTTTGTGTCACGTGAGTTGGAAAACAAAGCGATTTCACTTCTAGAATGACCAGCTAGTCTTGCTTCTGAATGGGGTAGAGAGAAGAAGCTATGTTTAGATCATGGAGAGAGCTTGTACCTCCAATTTATGCATAGATAAACAGATTTTTAGTTTACCAAACACTTCCTTACAAGCTAGTCTTAAATCAAAGGCGGTTCTTCCTCAGTGGGAGGAAATCTCAGATTTCTGTGAACTGAAATCAATTGCAAATGTAAAAAAATCTCCACCAAGTAGAGGAACAATCAGTTCTTTTATATATTTTACTGACCGTAAAACTGGCATGGCAACCCCACTGAGAAGTAATTCTCTTCATGGAAAGATGGGAGTTGGAGTGCGACAAAAGCAGGTTGTTTAAAATGAGGCAGCTCTTCAGGGTTAAGACGGGGGCTTACTGTGAAGCCAGGGCAGTGTTCTGATGCACAAGAGTAATGTATTCTGTTCTCTTCCTTTTTTCTCACTCCCTTTCATCTTTCGTACTCTGTAAGTGTTCACAGAAGTACTGCAGAGGATGCTAAGGCCTGTGTAGTGTGTGGGTCACGATTGCTCGGAGGTGCTTGGTGAACTAAGAAACAATGAGCCTGGTTTTGATAATGAAGTTCACGCCCACCCCCCTCTCCCACCCCCTGAGACAGGATCTCACTCTGTAGCTTTAGTTGACCAGGAACTCACTGTACAGACCAGGCTGGCCTTGAACTCATATTAATCTACTTACCCCTGCCTCCCAGTACTGGGATTAAGGGCAAACTCCACCACACCTGTTACTTGACCTTCTTAAGAATCTTAGCCTGTAGCCGGGCGGTGGTGGCGCACGCCTTTAATCCCAGCACTCGGGAGGCAGAGGCTGGCGGATCTTTGTGAGTTTGAGGCCAGCCTGGTCTACAAGAGCTAGTTCCAGGACAGGCTCCAAAGCTACAGAGAAACCCTGTCTCGAAAAACCAAAAATAAATAAACAAATAAAGAATCTTAGCCTGTGAATTTTCAAGTGACCTTCTCAGACCAGGACAATGAGACCACAGATAGAAAGTATCACAAAATTTATGTCTCATTTTTAAAAATGACTTTTTGGGGAGCTGGAGAAATTCCGCAGCGATTGAGAGCACTTGTCACCCTTGCAGAGGACCCAGGTTCAATTCCCAGCACTGACAAGATGGCTTATAGCCATTTGTAACCCCCAATCTAGGATAGGAGATCCAACAGGCACCCATATGGTACACATACCTGCATCCAAGCAAAAAATCATACAAATAAAGTAAGATAAACCTAAATTTTTTATTTAAAAACATTTATTTAAAAAGTCTTTACTCAGAATAAATTGCTAACCGGATAGTTAAAAACCCAAGTGATCCATCTTTTCCTTTGTCAGCAAATTTGCAAGTAACAAACTGTAGAGTTCAGTGGACCCTTACCACAGTGTCTGAATTTCTATCAGCACCTAGGCTTATGGCCATGCTTGTAGCGAGAATAAAATGGAAGTGTGTAAGACTGACTTATACAGAATATGTGTTTCTGGTGTTCTCCTTTTAGAGATTTTCCATGGTCTGGACACACTAACCGTAATGGGCATTGCGTTTGCTGCCTTTGTTATTGGAGCACTCCTGACGGGGGCCTTGTGGTACATCTATTCCCACACAGGTGAGTGTGACTGCTTTCTCTCAGCTGGCCCGTATCTGGGCACCCACCACATAACAGACATACACAATTTTAGGGATGGATAAAATAGTAAGCAAAAGAAAGAACATTCACTTTCACTATTCTTATATTTATATATTTGGTATAAGTTAGGTCGTGTAAAATATAACTTGTCCCAAATGATGCTTAGAAAAAGGATGGTTATTCTATGCTAGTTACAGTTTATCCTATGTTAGTTACAGTTTATACTATGTTAGTTTGTGCGAGTTACAGTTTATCCTATGTTAGTTACAGTTACAGTTTATCCTGTGTTAGTTACAGTTACAGTTTATCCTATGTTCGTTACAGTTTATACTATGTTAGTTTGTGCGAGTTACAGTTTATCCTACGTTAGTTACAGTTTATACTATGTTAGTTTGTGCGAGTTACAGTTTATCCTATGTTAGTTACAGTTACAGTTTATCCTGTATTAGTTACAGTTACAGTTTATCCTGTGTTAGTTACAGTTGCAGTTTATCCTGTGTTAGTTACAGTTACAGTTTATCCTGTGTTAGTTACAGTTACAGTTTGTCCTATGTTAGTTACAGTTTATCCTGTGTTAGTTACAGTTTATACTATGTTAGTTTGTGCAAGTTACAGTTTATCCTATGTTAGTTACAGTTACAGTTTATCCTGTATTAGTTACAGTTACAGTTTATCCTGTGTTAGTTACAGTTGCAGTTTATCCTGTGTTAGTTACAGTTACAGTTTATCCTGTGTTAGTTACAGTTGCAGTTTGTCCTATGTTAGTTACAGTTTATCCTGTGTTAGTTACAGTTACAGTTTATCCTGTATTAGTTACAGTTACAGTTTATCCTGTGTTAGTTACAGTTACAGTTTGTCCTATGCTAGTTGCAGTTTATCCTGTATTAGTTACAGTTTATCCTATGTTAGTTACAGTTACAGTTTATCCTATGTTAGTTACAGTTGCAGTTTGTCCTGTGTTAGTTACAGTTTATCCTGTGTTAGTTACGGTTACAGTTTATCCTCTGCTAGTTACAGTTACAGTTTGTTCTATGTTAGTTACAGTTTATCCTGTGTTAGTTACAGTTACAGTTTATCCTGTATTAGTTACAGTTACAGTTTATCCTCTGCTAGTTACAGTTACAGTTTGTCCTATGTTGGTTGCGGTTTATCCTGTGTTAGTTACAGTTACAGTTTATCCTGTATTAGTTACAGTTACAGTTTATCCTGTGTTAGTTACAGTTACAGTTTGTCCTATGTTGGTTACAGTTTATCCTGTGTTGGTTACAGTTACAGTTTATCCTGTGTTAGTTACAGTTACAGTTTGTCCTATGTTAGTTACAGTTTATCCTGTGTTAGTTACAGTTACAGTTTGTCCTGTGTTAGTTATAATTGCAGTTTATCCTGTATTAGTTGCAGTTACAGTTTATCCTGTGTTGGTTACAGTTTACCCTGTGTTAGTTACAGTTGCAGTTTATCCTGTGTTAGTTACAGTTACAGTTTATCCTGTGTTGGTTACAGTTGCAGTTTGTCCTGTGTTAGTTGCAGTTACAGTTTATCCTATGTTAGTTAGTTACAGTTTATCCTGTGTTAGTTACAGTTACAGTTTATCCTATGTTAGTTACAGTTACAGTTTATCCTGTGTTAGTTACAGTTACAGTTTATCCTGTGTTGGTTACAGTTACAGTTTATCCTATGTTGGTTACAGTTTATCCTATGTTAGTTACAGTTTATCCTATGTTGGTTACAGTTTATCCTATGTTAGTCACAGTTACAGTGTTGGTGATATTCAGCTTCTAATAAAGCAGTGTTGTCATAGGATTTAAAGAAAGCTTGTATGGGACTAATTAGAAAACATCCCTCCAAAGAAAAAAATATTGGAATCATCTGAGCGATACCCAGGATGCGACGAGAGAAGCCAGTCGCTCATTACCACAGCTGCCAGGGCACTGAACAAGGCCCACCAGCGTCCCCGTCAGTGGCCCTAAACCACGGTCCCCTGGCCTCTAACTCGTGACATCTTTGATAAACAAGTTTCTCCTATGTTTACAAAGTTAGGATTTCAAAATATATTTTTATTATTTGTAAAAAGCCTGAAAAGTGAGACACAAATTTTAAAGCTATGCCCTCCCATCCCCACCTCTCGATTTTGATGTTCCCACCAGCCAGCCCCAAGGTTGAACCTGTTCAGAAGCCAACACCGAACACAGGCCTGGCAAGGATTCACTTGCTTGGTGGGGAAGGAGACTGACCCTCCACTTTCTCCTGGTGCTCTTTGATAGCTTTCTATAGTTAGGAAGGGAGGGCTTGTATGTGGAGACATGTTAAAGTCGTGTTTGTTTGGGGATTTGGAGTTTGTGCTGTGACCCTGGGTAAACCGGCTAGATTGAGGGTTCTGAGGCAAATGGACCCACTGACTCCTGTAGCCTTTTCCTCAGCTGGAGTCATTCCGCTAGCTTCACCAAAAGAAAGACTATCGGAAGGGAAGGGAACAACTAGAGGGAGCCTCAGGTGTCACCATACCTTTCAATTTTCTTCATGTCTGTGCATGTGTGTATGAATGTCCTCGTGGGTGTGAGTGTGTGTGCAGGTGTGTGCACGCACACATATGGTGGTTCCCCATCATTCACTTTATGTACTGAGGCATGGTCCTTCATTGAATTCAGAGGTGCCAACATTGCTGGCCTAGCTAACCACCTTACCCCACTGATCCTCTCTTTGCTTCCCAAGTGCTAAGATTACAATTAGCCACTAACCTGACCTGGGTTTCACGTGAGTTCTGGAGGTCCTGAACCCCAGCCCCCATACTTGGGCAGCAGGTGCTTATCCCCTGCACTATCTCCTCAGCCCCTGTTTTCTGTTGGTTGCTAGACAAAGTCTCAAACTGTTGAGAAAAATACATGACAGAGCTCTTATGTTAAAATTTCTGACTCTTTCCATCAGCAATTTCACTTCAAATGCCATAGCCCTGGACGAAGGTGTTTTAGGTTATGGAACACAGAGAAGCAAGCCCTCGGTGTCTGGCCAGGCTAACTCCAAAGCCAGCTAGTGACAGAAGCTTCGTGTTTAATAACTGAGCATTGAGTCCTCAAAATTTGTTGTTCCCAGCCAGCAACCTTACAGTGCAGTGTGCTTCATGTCAGGGAAAATGAAGCCCTGAGTGGGATGGTTCTGGGCACTATATAAATGCCTCTGAATCATTTGAAGACTTTTCCTCCATGTAAAAGTTCAGAAAGAAAGAAAACAAAACCCTAAAGAGACAGCTTTTGGTAGAGGAGAATTTGGAGCCAATGCTATTATCACAGCGGTACTGACGTGTTTAGGTCTCAAGCTAATAGCTCTTCGCAACTTTTTCCAACCTCCTGCACAGGGAGGTTCTGGGGTACTTGGCACCCTGTGTTTGTCTACTGGGAATGAACTTGGAAGTACTCCAAGAAGGCTGTAGTCCTGAGGATTTTATGTGGGGCTGGTCACACACAGATGTTTTCTGTATGTCTGTTCAGCCACTGACTGACTCAGGTCTCAGAGCTGATCCTGAAACCCACATGGTCCATCTTGGGCTAGGAAGCCGGGCCCAGGCGTAGCGAAGGGCTAGCAAATGGTACTCGCTATGGAAGCATCCCACACTGAGACCCCTCTGGCAATTCCATATGTGTCCATAGCCAAGCCTCAAGCCAATAAACAGAGAGCAGAGCTTGATTGTATTGTGTCCTGCTTCCCCTCATTGAACTTGGAAGTGGTTGTTCCTCGCCCCCTCCCATCCAAACAAAAGCCTCAGAGGGGAGCTTCAAGTATTGTTAATACAAAATAAAGTTTGCACATAGATTTAAGACAAACAAAAGCCCTTCCAGCAAACAGTTTATGTTTATTTCTGTTTATGCCAGCCCAGAAACTAAAAGTCCTATAGACACTGTCCTTGGAACTTAAAACTCCGCTGATACTGCTTATGATTCCACTCCGAAAGTACTTTTAAGTCAAAGTTGTGGCCCCAAGTGCATTTTATGTACGGCTCGTAATTAATCTTAGTGTTACTCAAACACAAAGAGGGCTCAGTTCAGAACCTAGTAAATTTCTGACGTGGGTCAGCCAGCAGCGAGTTTAGATAAACAGGGATGGTCAGGATGGCGCAGCGAGCAAGCAAAGATGGGCAAATCCAAACACTGACTCAGCCCTGTTCAGTTTCCACAAGAAGCTCCACTGTGGAACTCAGACCTTATATGGTCTATGTGGGGGCTCGGGCTGCGTCTACCTCTGTGTCCAGAACAACGCTTCGTTTGGACGACTCCCCTCTAAGCTTCTGTTTTCCACAGCACAAACCAAGTCACAGATTTGAACTGTGACTCCTTATGTTCCTGAAATCATTTTGGTCTAAAAGAGAAAGGCAGGGCTCCCACTGTCATATAGCAGCTCCAGGCACAGCGAGATAGCTCTTTTGGGCTCCATCAGTTCTGTCTTAAAGCCTTCTCGTGTTTAGGCATGAAGGACGAGAGGAGAACATGGCTGGAGACAGGCATAGCTCTACTCCAAGATGTCTCACCTCTGGTGCCATGGGTCCCAAAGTCAGAGGTGTGCTTACATCTGTTGTTTTCTAGAGGACAACAGCTCTTACCTTTGCTCTGTAGAAACCCGTGTTAGCCTCATGGAGATAGTACGTGTAGAGTGTGACACCAGAAAGAGTTGTGCAAAGCTTGCTGCAAGACCAGACCCTCACTACCTCACTCTTTGTCTCACCCTCTGGAGTAACATTTATTTCCATTCTTGTCTGATTCTTTGGGATACTAACTGGTATCTCTAAATAGCAAGTAGACCATGTTATTTGACTGCCCCTTTTGGTTTGGGATCTTCTCTGTCAACATCCTACTCAGAAAGTGAGGGTTTATTTCCACTTTCCCCAGATGCCCCAATTATCATCCATTTCCCCTTTCACCCTGTGGTAGATTCATACTGAAGTCTGGTTAGATCCATATTCACTGTGTGTCGTTATGACCACGCACACGCTA